TGCTGTTGGCCGCACTACCCTCCTGGGATCGTTCACCTTCCCTTTCTAGGGTTCGCTTAGGGCAGCTGGATCGAAGATGGCCCTTTTCCCCACAGCCATAGCACCTTGGGCTGTATCCTTTGTTGCGGTCGCGAACTGTAGCTGCTGCAACCTCCCTGACGCGATGGGAACGATGATCCTGCCGCACGGCTTCCACTTCCAGTGCATGGGCCAAGGCGTCCTTAAGCGTCTCGTGGTGCCCGAGCCTCACAGCAGCTCTGACTTCCAGGTCGCGGATGCCGTCGATGAATCTGCACCAGGTTCCCTTCAATGAGCGCAGGTACAGACCGGTATGCTCTTCGCACCAGCTTCTCCACTTCTAGAGCCAACTGCTGCAGGTTTTCGTTGATGCGCTGCACACGATCTTTAAGCTGCGCACGAAAGACGTGTTCCAGGTTAGCGTCGCCATATCTCGCCTCCAATGCCTCAAGGAGTTGCTCATAAGTCACTTCCTCACCGAGAGCTTCCAGAACTGTTAAGGCCTGGTCGCGCAGGCCTAGTGTGAGAGCAGTCATGGCCTGACTTTTATTCCAGCCGTTCGCCTTCATAACAGCCTCGAACTGGATTTTGTAGGCTGACCAGGAAGAAGTCCCGTCAAACGGTGGCACCTTGAACCCACGTAGCGAAGGTGCTGAAGCTACTACGGGAGCTGTGGTTCCATCCCCAAGTTTGAGTTCATCCAGCGTTTTCTTAACTTGGTTGATTTGGGTCTCAGCTTCCGACATGCGGTTATCATGTTGAGCAACCTTATCCTTCACCTCCCTTATCTCTTTCCCTAAGGTAGCGTGAAGGTCCTTCATGAGAAGCATCTGTTCTTCCTGGCCGCCCCGCAGCTGCTCTTCCAACCGACGGGCCTGTTCCTCCTGTCGGCGAGCCTGTTTCTCCTGCTGCTCTTTCAACAGACGGGCCTGTTCCTCTCGTCCGCGCTGCAGCATCGCCATCAGAGCACCTAAGTCAGGTGCTGCAGGTGTAGGAGCTACTGACGGGCCCGCAGCCTCCGTGGCTGGCAGTTGGCCCTCCGACGTCTACGGCGTTGCACCACCAAATCTCCTCTGGTCCGTCTCATGCTGGCGTTGACTGCGGGTACGGACACCCTCCGTTTCCTCCTTAGGTAAAATCGGCATTATTTTATCCCACTTCTGACACCAATTGTTACGAGCTTAGGGTTCGTGACAATAAAAATTGCCGATAAAATTACCTAAATTAACACTTTAATTTACTTTACACAAATTAAAACTTAAAACACTAATGATTAAACACACTAATTCACTTAATTCCGCTCCGAAGCTTCGCTTGTGTCGCCGAGTTCAAGTCTACCTCGATCGCATCTTGCAGCGCCTACTTATATAAATTAGCAAAATATCCAGAATGTTCAAGTAAACACGCGCAAGGTACCGAGAGTTCGAGTTTTAAACTTCAAGAAGTTTAGTTCTTCGGTTCGAGACTAGATGGCGCTAGTGCGCCGATTTGAGGCATTGGAGCGCGTAACAATATCAAGTAATAAAATAACTCGTAAACTGTTTTAAACTATTTCAAATTTCCGCGCACTCCACTGTTCGACACAGGTCGACCGATGACTTCGTATTGCCATAGCGATAATGCTGCTATCATAAAAAATGAGTTTTAATAAAATGAGCGATAAAACTCATTTTTTATGATAGCAGCATTATCGCTAAGGCAATACGAAGTCATCGGTCGACCTGTGTCGAACAGTGGAGTGCGCGGGAAATTTGAAATAGTTTGAAACAGTTTACGAGTTATTTTATTAGTTGATATTATTGATTGATATTATTAATTGATTCAGTTTGATAAGGCAAGCCCGGCTTTTCGGCTTCTATAGAGGCTTCGCCACTGGCACTAGTGTGTGTGAGTGTGACTCACACTCTGCTGGGGCTATATATCTATATATTCGATTTGACCGGGAAAAATCAAGCGCATGACCAACGGATTCACGTGCTTCCCGAGACACGGAGTGAAACATCGCCAACATCCTGCTTCCGAGCTACTAAGAATTTCTTTTCTTATTAATACATAAACGAAGAAACTAAAATGTACTTACTAAAAATTTGCCAACAGGAAACTTTATGGTTTTCCTTAAAATCAGACTTTTGTTTCTCTGCTTCAGGCGTAATACCTGTAAATTATATAATGATTTCTTAAATTTACGCGAACACTACACATTGAATAAAACTAAATTTCGGATTCTATCGCGTTTATTTAACTGATTTTACTTATTTTTAATTCCCGACGTTTCGGGTGCTTTACAGCAACCATGGTCACGGGGGGGACTGAGATGTTTGACGTCCCAGTGTCATTGTTCGCGTAAATATAAGAAATCATAAGTAAAATCATTTAAATAAACGCGATAGAATCCGTAAATTTAGTTTTATTCAACCTGTAAATTATATTTAACCACTAATTAGTTTTCAGCTACTTCAAAAAAGATCAAGGGGAAGGTTCTATATGTTTTTCGGACGCATGTTACGGGATATCTTCGTTAATTATGCACCGGTTTTAATAATTGCTTTTTTTCTTCTTTTTCAGGTACCTCTCCGTCTAGCGAGGATTGGCAGTCAGCTCAGTGGACTCCACTCTATTCTTCGCGAGGAAAAACAGTTTTAATTAATTAACTTTTAATAATCTTTTTTGTTAAATAGATTAATAAAGCTAATTAGTAAAAAACAAAATCGGGAGATTTGCAGTAGAATCTTTCTAACAACGACTAAAAATAAAAACTACCACCAATAGACGACCAACCGGCTTGCCAAGCGTGGCAGCTATGGCAAATAACCCCCGTATAAGGCAAGCTATGGGGTAGGCCTATGTTGTGCAGTGCAAAAAAAAAGTTAATAGGCCGTAATGGTAACGGTTTTCGGAGTCTGAGCTTACCTTACGAAAAGCTGGGGTATATTTCAAGGGTAGTCTTAAATCAATTCCGAAAAAAATCCTAATATTTTTTACAGCATATGCCGCAAAAACTCCAATTTTTTATAGCAAATGCTACAAAACTAAGCCTGCTTGCTAGTTTTGATAGGTCCCACTGAAGTTTCGAGTCTAGCTATATTCCAAGAAAAATGATAAAAAGGAGTGGCCCCAGTATTGACCCCTTCGACACCAAATGTAACTAAACCGGTGATTATATGGAATAAGTAAGGATGCTGACTGTATTTTCCTAGAGAATACTAAATATATGCTTCAAATGTCAACATTCTCAGTTCTCACTCAGGACAGTTCGTCTCGATTCTGCGCTCGATTGAGAGGCGCCACCGGCGCTTTTGAATTTGACAGAATGCGAATTTGATATTTCACCGCGGATTCAGCTTTCGATATATAAAAATGTTTTTACAGAATAGCCTTGCAGTTACATGCTAACGAATGTAGAAGATTACCTTTGATACGATTGAAGGATTTTTTAAAAGGAATAAATGATCAACTTTATTGAATGCTTTTTAAAATCGAACAGTTTCTATCTGAGATTTATAATCTAAACTATAAAAAATAAATAATTAAAAACAAGGATATTTGTCTGTGCAGATTTGCCATTCAATAGCTCGTACGTTTTCCATGGCTCCCACATTTTATATTTTCGTCTAAGTGTCCAAATTAAGCTATTAGAGAACAATTTAGAGAATCTATTGGTTTTAATTTTGATGAGTGCCACATTAAACTCAATACGATATGTATATGATTTGATAATTAAAATTGTAAATTACAGTATCTATACAAGAAGAGCTGAGTTCAAAAACAGTCTCTGATATCAGGGTATTAAATTGGACATAATTTGCTTTGTAAAAGTTTCGATTTGTTTTTTGGTTGGTGGGCATACACTTAGATTAAGTTGCCGAATATAAAACGTCCAGCGGAGGATGATGTGAAACTGCTTTTAAAGTGGATCATCAAAGATAGTAATCAAATCAAAGTAATTACGTAAATTGCATAAAATATGATCTACGAGTAAAATTCTACTGTTTTCATTTTCGACGTATTTTTATCTCAAAAATGGACTAGTTGATGATAATTCCAGGTAAGTATACAGTAATTTGAAGTAGCCAATAATAATGTGACAAAGGCTGAAAAAAAACTTTTAATAAAAAAAGATAAGCCTGCTACAAGCAACCTATAAAAATAAAATAATTTTAGATTATGACGTATTTGCTAGGACATTTAGCTCAGTCGTCAGAAATAAGAGGAAATTGTCTCTAATCTGTATTTAGACGATATCGAATCGATGTCTTTAGAACGGTTATGTATGCGATACATTTTGTCATTCATTAGCTTCAATGAATCTCAATTCAATGAAGATATGAGGCTATAGAATCGTGATGGTATTTGAGGTTTAAAGTAGAATGTCTCACAGCCTACCTGTTGACTCTTTATAAATTTCAGATCAAAATTCTAGACAGAAAAGAAATTCTAGCGCCTAGAAAACTTATTTACAAATCGGTCAGTTATTAGTTATTATCAGTTAGCCTTACGTCCAAATGTGGACTTTGTGTACTAATTGATATTTTTAAGTACAACGACAATTTTCTATGATACCTACCACACAAATCCGGATTAAGGGCCCTTCGAAGCACTTTCATTTCTTCTTTTACGAGCTGAGAATTGATAGACGTGCCTCTATAGAATGTGATTGCTTCTGCAGCCTCCTGTAAGCAGTACAGATGATAATATACATACGCGTATAAGTTCGTCATTTTATTGGCATAAGGCACAGTGGCAATTTTAGGGCAGGGTGATTGCTTCAGACGTCAGTCAAGAGGGTCACGTGCCTTGACCCACGAATGATACTGGTATCATAGCCAATTCTGGTAACAATGTAGGACTACTTTTACATCGTTTCATTCCGTAGCTACAGTTAGAGGCGGCAGAGGGAAACTGAAACAGGGGAAGGTCAGCAGCGTCTTCCTTTCCAATAGCTTGCGGCGGCGCTGTGGCACGACTACGACTGTTGGAACTGCATGCTGTGGTACGACTACGACTGTTGGAACTGCATGCTGTGGCACGACTACGACTGTTGGAACTGCATGCTGTGGCACGACTACGACTGTTGGAACTGCATGCTGTGGCACGACTACGACTGTTGGAACTGCATGCTGTGGCACGACTACGACTGTTGGAACTGCATGCTGTGGCACGACTACGACTGTTGGAACTGCATGCTGTGGCACGACTACGACTGTTGGAACTGCATGCTGTGGCACGACTACGACTGTTGGAACTGCATGCTGTGGCACGACTACGACTGTTGGAACTGCACCTTGCTGCCTGCGGCTGGAGCGAGGATAAGGTGAAGGCAGACTGCAAGGTGGCTTTTAAAAAATCGTGGAGAGGAAGCAGGCGCACTACTGTCATTCTCCAGTGCTCGGCAGCACTTAGAGACGTGCTTGTGGGACAGAATCGTCTCTACATTGGCTGGGACGTGGTGGAGCCCTGCGATTACGTTGACGTCACGTGCTGCCAGAGGTGCCAGCAATACGGGCATCCATCAAAATACTGCAGGTCCAAGGAAATTGTGTGTGGCAAGTGTGGGGAGACGGGACACGAGCGTGGGACCTGCCAAGCAAAAGAAGAAAAGTGCGCTACCTGCAAGAGATTTGGCAGGCCTGACTCTGGTACGCACGTGACCATGGCGAGGAACTGTCCAGCAAGACTGTATGCAGAGCAACGCTCCGTGGCCACCACGCAATACTGCCGATAAGGGCAAGTCCAGCTATTTAAAAGAACAAACTATTAAAATGGGGCAGATTAACTTGTGTCGGGGGGAGCTTGCCACGGCTGAGTTGCCTATTCTGGCGCGCGAACTGCACCTGGACATTGTTCTTGTTCAAGAACAGTACTCCCAGGCTGCAGGAATCGTCCAGGTGGGTGGTCACCCGTGGGTTGGCATCTATCTTGCCGACCCAACAATTGGAGTAGCTTTGCTGAGCCACCTCAGCAACGATTTCTGTGTGGTGTGCCACGTAAACCGATGGGACCTCTACGTGGTGTCAGCGTACTTTAAATACAGTGACACCATTGATGACCACCTGCACCACTTGGAGGTCACCCTGAGTTGTCTAAAGGGCAGAAGGGTCATCGTCGGCCTCGACGCAAATGCGCACTCGCCACTCTGGCACTGCGATCGCCGACATTACGTGGGACGAGGACATACTGCAGAACACCGGAGGCAGCAAGTGGAGGCGTTTATACTTTCACAGGAACTAATGTTGGCGAACCAGCCAGACCAGCCCTATACCTTCTCTGGGCCAGGTGGAGAGTCTAATGTGGACCTCACATTATCGACTGGGGACATATACCTTGCTGAGTGGCGAGTGCATGAGGGAATCTGCGCCAGCGACCATAATTTAATTACATACACGGCCACTACCAGCAGGCCGACTACTTGCGCTGCACCCGTCAGGGATCCCCCACGTTTTCGTGACCGGGGGGTGGATTGGGACAGGTTCCGGGCGATCATAAAATTAAGAATGGGATGGTTGCATGTGGACAAACCCGCGGCCCTCCTGGCGGAGGAGTTCTCAGGGGTCATCATCCGCTCCTCGGAGGAAGGCCTAGGGGAGCGTCGCCCTAGGGGTTCCGCGGGGTATGAATGGTGGAATTCTGAACTAGATAAAACTCGGAAGCTGCAATGCAAGATCAGGCGTGTATGGCAGAGTAAAAGGCGTCTGGGTGGTAGATCAGAGGAGATAACCAGAATGGCTTTTCACAGCGTGCGTGCGAGATATAGAAAGATGATGGTGGAGGTGCAGCAGGCGCATCACACGAGGGTTGCCAATACTGGCAATGAGGACCCTTGGGGCCTGGCATACAGGTTGGCCAGCGGGAGGGTGCGTCCGCCTGCGAATGTGATCAATGGGATTGCATTCGCGGGTGGGCACCCAGATAGTCTGGGAGTTGCCATGAACAGCCTGATGACTGCGCTCTGTCCGGATGACGACCCTGGCTGTGACAAGCCTTACCACCGGCAGGTTCGAATGCTGGCGGCGTTTATGCCCTCTGGTAGAGCTGCACTTCCACTTGCTGTTGAGGACCTGAAGTGTGTAATAGAGGGGGTTTTCCCCCAGGTATGGAAGGACGGTAGATTGATTGTCATTCCCAAGGGTAATGACAAGCCACTCACTGACGCCAAGGCGTATCGTCCCATAACGCTCCTGCCTGTTTTGGGAAAGTTGCTTGAACGTGTAATTCTAAGGTGTGCTCCTGTGATTAGTCACGGGATATCCGAGCACCAGCACGGATTTTCCCCGGGGCGATCTACGGTAACAGCGCTGCGAGTATTGCTCAGCACGGCAGCCTTCGACAATGCCTGGTGGCCGATGATGATGGTCAAAGCTAAGAGGGGTGGATGTCCACCTAACATTTATAAAATGTTGGTGGACTACTTCACCTCCAGGCGTGTGGGCCTCTACATCGGGGACCGGGTAGAGTGGAAGACCTCGACCATGGGATGTCCTCAAGGCTCCGTGCTGGGCCCAACACTGTGGAACGTGCTGATGGACGATTTGCTTCGACTCCCTCTGCCTGAGGGAGTTGCCATGACTGCCTATGCCGATGATGTTACAATCTTGGTTGAATCGGAAACGAGAGCAGGTATTGAATCCAGGGCCCGGGTCACTCTGGACCTTGTACGGGAATGGGGGCTGAGGAATCGACTGAAGTTCTCCTCCTCAAAGTCTACCACCATGACTGTTAGAGGGAAACTTCAGCGCCCCCCGGTTATTAAACTTGGTGGGGAATCAATCAAGTCTGTGACTACCGCTAAGGTACTAGGCGTGGTTTTGGACTCAGGATTATCATTTGTGCAACACGCTTCTGATATCTCCGAAAGAGCGACTAAGGGATTTGGCAAAATGACTCGCGTATCGACCTCGTCATGGGGTATTCGATACCCGAGTTTAAAAATTATTTACAGAGGAATGTTTGTGTCCACGCTCACGTATGCAGCAGAGTGCTGGTATGAGCGGGCGAACATGTACACAGTCCGTAGCGTACTACAGAGATCGCAACGATCTGCACTTGTCTTGTTGACCAAGGCGTACCGGTCCACTAGCACGGCGGCCTTACCGGTGCTGGCTGGCGTTCTCCCTGCTGACCTGGAGGTCATCCGTGCTGGTAGGATGGGTGTGGCACGTTTGTCCGCGCCCAAAGAGGAGTTGAGCAGACGAAAGCGCGATATCTGGACTCAGGTGATTGGCGTATGGCAGAATCGATGGGAAAACGAAACGAAAGGACGTGAGTTAAATCGATTTTTCCCGGAGGTGGCGTTGAGACTCAGGTATACCTGGGTCTCACCGGACTATCAAACATCCCAGATTCTCACTGGACATGGATGTTTTCGGAAGAGACTGCATGACATGCGACTGTGTGAAACCAGTATGTGTGAGTGTGGTACGGCAGAGGAGGATGTTCACCATGTCCTATGGGAATGTCCTCTGTATGACGATCTAAGAGCGAAAGTGTTGGATGGGCTGGTTCGAACGGTTCAGGGACCGATTTACTACTCGGATCTCGTCAGCGATGGGGTGAACTACGGGCTGTTGCGTGAGTTTGCGCATAGGTGGCACGATCGCAGGAGAAGGCAGGAAAGGATGCTGGTAGGAAGGCCCGACGACGTAGGCGTTATTGTGCCGTCAGCCCCAGAAGGGGGAGAATGACGTTAAACTGGGATAAGGAACAGAATAAATATTTGTGGGGAGTCAGGAAAGTGCGCGCGGGAAAGAGCAAGGTGCAAGTACCGCGCGCATCTCCCGAGATTAGGCCCGTATGACCTGAGTGTCGGTGGGGCCATGGGAGGTGGTGGGTTGTTGGAACTGCATGCTGTGGCACGACTACGACTGTTGGAACTGCATGCTGTGGCACGACTACGACTGTTGGAACTGCATGCTGTGGCACGACTACGACTGTCGGAACTGCATGCTGTGGCACGACTACGACTGTTGGAACTGCATGCTGTGGCACGACTACGACTGTTGGAACTGCATGCTGTGGCACGACTACGACTGTTGGAACTGCATGCTGTGGCACGACTACGACTGTTGGAACTGCATGCTGTGGCACGACTACGACTGTTGGAACTGCATGCTGTGGCACGACTACGACAGTTGGAACTGCATGCTGTGGCACGACTACGACTGTTGGAACTGCATGCTGTGGCACGACTACGACTGTTGGAACTGCATGCTGTGGCACGACTACGACTGTTGGAACTGCATGCTGTGGCACGACTACGACTGTTGGAACTGCATGCTGTGGCACGACTACGACTGTTGGAACTGCATGCTATGGCACGACTACGACTGTTGGAACTGCATGCTGCACGGGTATGCTCTTCCAGCTCAAGTATAACTTAACCGTCTTCTTCAACTCTACAATCTCGTCGGACACATTACGAGAAGATGCGGGGGAGCGATGTTTCACTGTGACGTCAACTCCTATATCCTAGTTGATCCAGTGAATGTGTCGGCTGTGATGTCAGCACCGTCTGGATATGATGCGGTAGGCGATTGCTCCAAATTTATCTAATAAAGTCCTCAGGAACTGAAGGACCAGCATGAAGGTGCCTCAAAAATTGTGAAGGTTTCCTATCTCCGAGCTCTTCGTGGGTCAGCAACTGTTTCACCTTCTTTTTTGGGAAGCTGAGAAGCGTTTGATCAGCTCTGACTTGATCTAGGCATAGCGATATTTAGCTGGAGGATTGAAAATAGTATCTTTCACGACTTTTTGGTGCTGGATATATTCGAAATGTTTGGTTAGTGACGCCATACCCACCTAGCAAATTGATACCTTCAATAAACGCAAACCATAGTTTTGGATCCTCAGTTGAAAATGGAGGAACTTTAATTTTTAATTTGGGCACATATTTATTTTCGCGTTCAGTGGAAACTAGCCCGTCCGTCTTATAGTGATGTTATACAGCATCATGGTGCGAGCCAACAGTTTTCGCGGATTAACTGCTATCACTCATCTTATGATTTCTTATATTTACGCAAACACTGCACATTGAAATAATACTAGTTTTTACGGAATTTATCACGTATATTTAACTTTAACTCATGGTCACGGGCGGGACTCCCGCCCGTAACCATGAGTGCTGTAAAGCGTTCGAAACGTCGGGTATTTAAAAAGTTAAATATACGCGATAAATTCCGTAAAAACTAGTCGTATTATTTCAATCACTCATCTTATTCTTCGTATCCTTATCGGGGACAGTAGAACCAGAGTGATTGACTTGTGATGAGCTGTTGTGATAACAATGATGGCGACGGTCAAAATTACGGGGGCATCAATAAACGAGGTGTCTGGTAGATTAATTGCTAATTATACAAAAATTAGTCGACATTTTCATGTACATCATTATGCGGTGGATTATATTTTTCAAACCAGTATAAGGTAGCAAGCAATCTCAGATCATCAAGCCATGGCCCAATAGCACAAGAGACAATGACCATGAAAAGGATTAAAGTTGTTACAAGCTAATAGATAAGAAGAAGAAGTTCACGAAACGGTCGCGTTTATTTTTCTTTGAACTTACGTTCTCATGACCTTTCCTAATCAGATGTATCGGCGACTCCTTTAAAAAAGACACAAGAACCAATCCAAGCACTGTCATGGATAAACAGACGTAGTTCATGATGTGGTATTTCAAATAGCCTCCCATGAGGTAAGAAACGAGCATCCCAATACAGTAGAATACCATTGCGCCTGACGTCATCCTCCCTCGTATGGAGTCTTGGCAGATCTCGCTGACATAGATCGGTATAATCATTAATAAACCACTGCAGAGTCCAGACAGAAGCATTGCCGCGAGGATAGCTTCCCAGACCCAATCAATCTGTGGATAAAAATACGACTTGAATAAACATTTAAGCAAGGATATTATAAAAGTCAAAACCTTTTTTATATTTTAATTGCAATCTAAGGTTTTATTATTTATATCGATAGATAAACGAGTATTTTAAACAACTTTTTAAAATTTCTAAAGCAATTCAATAAAAAATAGATGTATGAGTAACATAGAATCGATTAAACTTTATTGTAAACTTAGATCGCAAAAAAACATGACTCGTTGAGTTTTGAAACGTTGCTTAAAACTTTTTAACAAATCTATTTTAATAAAAATTATGACAAATTGGCATACCATCAACCTGATTCTAGATTAAGAATTAAAATACGGGTGTGTCGTCAGCCCTGAAGACAAAGATGGAATGGCTCGTTAATATTAAATAGGGTCTCCGGTTTCGTAACTTCGGAACGAAACACAGGAGAATTACGCTGCCTTTTCACGCTGGTATTCTGTGATGCGTGGTTCTTTCCCGGTCGAGCTGACTCATTCATCCTACAGCCGTAACGCTGCAGCACGGCTCAACTACGTCTAGGAATAGATAGAATGTAGTTTCAATATTTTAATTGAAAATTTATTTAAGTTAATGAAATACCATTCGTACTTTTAACAAGCCAATAAGTAGTACTAATACAACAACATATACTAGAAGGTAATAAACCCTAGCACCTAGTAAAACGTTGACATAGTTAACAAGTTGTATTATTTTTAGTTCATTTATTTCAATGCTTACTGTTAAACAAAGGACGGATCCGTGCCATATTTGCCGCGCGTGGAAAATAGATTGGTAACCTCAGTTTTGTATTACTTTGAGTTGTTAACGGGAAGATGTTGCCGATTTTGCTGTTTCATTTCGCTTTGTCAACTCTTATTTATTTTTTTTTTTTATTTTATTAATAAGGCACACAAACAGATTTAAGACAATACAAAACACATTTACAGTAACAAAAATATTATAACTAGTCTATAATCCAATAAAGTGCGCACAGCAAAACAAAATATGACAAGTATGACCGAAAAAAAAATAATAATACATGGTACTAATAACAGTTAAAAAAAAGAACTTTTTTTTATGATATTCGTGATTTTACATACTTAACGTAGCAACTATAGATCTTCTAAATTGTGAAATATTAGAATTAAAAATGTCCAGATCAGCGTTACGATGTCTCAGCTCGTCAAAATTTCGACACATTCGAATGACTGGATTATAAAAAGACGTGTTATTTCTGTAAACATCAAGGCGAAAGATACGCGGGTTACGCAGACGGGATCGACTGTTAAAATTAATTAAATTAATTAATTCTGGGCAATCGATGGAGGAGTGTATGATTTTGTGAAGGTAAATAAGCTCAAAATATTGTCTACGTTTATCTAATTTCGTAACTCCAAAGTAATTCACTCTTTCATTATAGGATGGCAACTGGCGGATCAATCCATGTTTACGACATAAGCTCCGCAGAAAAACATCTCTGGACTCGTTCAATATTAGTTATATGTACTTCGTAATAGGGTGACCAGACTACTGAGGCGTATTCAAGAATCGGTCTTACAAGGGTGTTAAAAAGATATATTAGACTAAGTGGTCTCTTGAATTCCTTCATAACTCGTGCAACAAAACCAACTAACTGATAACCACGTTGCGTTAAGTGATTAAAATGTTGCTTAAAATCTAGTTTTGAGTCAAAGATAACGCCCAAATCTTTGGCAACATTACTTTCAGACAAAGGTTGATCATTGATATGGTATGTATACTTTAGACGAGTTTTCTTAGTTGTGAAAGTTATAAAAAAACATTTACTAACATTCAAATGCATTTTATTATGAGAACACCAGGTATAAATATTGTTAAGGTCCCGTTGCAACAAGAGGCAGTCATTAACATCATCGATTATACGGAAAACTTTCATATCGTCTGCATATAGTAAACATTCACTTGTGATATGGTCTACCAAGTCATTAATAAATATAATAAACAAAAGAGGGCCAAGATGGGACCCTTGAGGAACCCCGGATGTTACATGTACTGGTTTGGAGAGGAAACCTTTTATTGCAACGATCTGACTACGTCTAGAAAGATACGAAATTATCCAACGCAACAAATTGCCATGTATCCCGTATACTGCTAATTTAGCCGCGAGTATTCTATGGTTGACTTTGTCAAACGCCTTTAAAAAGTCAGTATAAATCGAGTCTACTTGGCGTTGGGTAGCAAACGCTTGACAAATGTAATTTTTGTAGACAAGTAAATTACTAACGGTTGATCTACCAGTAACAAAACCATGTTGTAAGTTTGATACGCTTTGTTTGACGTGGTTGTAAATATGGTCATAAGCCAACGATTCAAAAATTTTAGCCATACAGGATAAGATGCTAATTGGCCTATAGTTTTCACATTTTGTTTTATCACCAGACTTATGAATTGGAATTACGTAGGCATTTTTCCAAACAGAAGGGAGTAAGCCGCTCTTAATAGACTTATTGAAAATTATAAATAACGGCAAACTAAGTTCTTCACAACACGCCTTAACAAATAATGATGGAATTCCATCGGGACCCGGACCTTTGTGAGTCTCTAGTGTTTTAATCTTTCTAATAATGTCATCTCTACTAATGCATATATTTGATAGTGTAAGATTAGACCTGTCCGGTATATTAAATTCGGGTTCACAGTTGTCAGGTATTTCATAAACAGAAACAAAATACGCTGAAAAAAGTTCACAGATTCCTTGGGGATCTGTAGCAGTTTTAGCACCATGAGTCATAGAATCAGGGATACCTTTACTTGATTTTTTGTTATTAACGAACTTAAAGAAATGTTTAACGTTTCTTTAAGTTCGTTACGTTTTTTGTTTATCGATTTGTAGCAGGCTTCAATTAAGTGTTTACTACGAGTTCTCAGCATATTGTATGTATCATAATCCCTCGGATTACCAAATTTTTTATACAACTTATGATACTTTTTCTTATCTCGAAGGCAACGAATTAGAGGAAAGTTAAACCAGTATGGGTATTGGTTAGGATTACATTTTTTAAATGGTACAAACAGCAAAATAGCTGAATTAAGTTCTTTATACATAGCATCAACAGCACTATCAGGGTCCAAGTCATTTAACAGTTCATGCCAATTAACTTTTCTTAAATGGTCTTTAATTTTTTCAAAATTACATTTATGATAATTTGGTTTCAAAAGTTTACGATTAAATTTAACAAGATTTGGTTTATTATTTGTATAATTAAGATTAATTTCTATAGATGGATGATGACCGTCCAGTTTCAGTAATGGTTCTACTTCTTTTACTCTTAGTTCGTCCATAGTTGATAATACGAGATCAAGTAGACGATCATTCTGATTTTTGGAATTATTATATTGTTTCAGATCACATAATGCCATAGTATCTAAAAGAAAACGACCCTTAGTGCCAGCAGAAGCATTTGGAATTAAACGAAATTCTAAATTAGAGATCTCCCAGTCTATGTCAGGAAGGTTAAAATCGCCTACCAATAAGAAATGTCCGGAATGGGCATTGCTAAGTATGATACTTTGATAGTGTTTCATAAGTTTATTGATATCGTCCGACGGAAGATAAGGTGGAAGATAACAAACACAGATATTTAATGACAAACAATTTGTAGAAATAAGTGAAACCCAAATATCCTCAAAGTTACTGTCCCAAAATTGCCTACGAGTAACAGTAAAACATTTTTTTATGGCCAAGATCACACCTCCTCCCTCGTCTTTTCGTCCGCCATAAGCGCATTCCCCTCTGTCCCGTCTGAATACATTATAACGCTCATCAAATAATTCTTCATTAAAGATACCTTCATCTAAGTTAGTTTCGGTTAAGCAAATAATATCATATTCATTATTTAGTATATTTGTATACATCTGATGTGTTTTGGAACGCATACGATTAACATTTTGATAGTACATTAAGATTCAAGACAAAAGAAAAAATACAAAACTTAAACGCAAAATAAACAAAAACAAAAAGTGAGTTACTACAATACAAATCAATTAACGAATTTTAGCCAAGCAATCTTTGTTTTTTATATGTACTGCTGAAGAATTATCATCTTTTCTCACATATATATTCCCGAATTTGACCCACACGTATTTATATTTTCCACGAGCAGTAGCCCGTGTCAAAGCAAAAAGCTCCTTGGTTTCTGGAGAGAGATGTTCGGAAACATAAATTGGGCATATATCCCCTTGAATTCCTAAATGTACAGAGCTTAATGTGTTGCCAGGGTTAGCCTTATTATAACGTTTGACCGCCGACAGAAGATTATCACGACGGCGAATGGAAGGCAGCGAAAGCAAAATATTACGCGGGCGTTGGGCTGATGTGGTCGGCAATTTAGCAACCCTTCGACACATACTAATTTCAGCGTCTGTCGTTGGTAGTTTTACTGTAGAGTAAATATTTTTGACAATCGTCAAAATATTTTCATTCCGTTTTTCGGGGACTGCTTGAATCTCCACGTTGTGACTGCGGGAAATTTTTTCCATGGATTCCAAACGACGATGCAGTATACTCATTTTGCTTGTTAGATCGGCATTCGTTCTTTCTAGTGCCTTGACTTTTATTTCAGCAGATTCAATATTTGACTTGAGTTCTTTTTGCCCCTGATGTAGAAAGTCTGTAGTTTCGGTAAATTCAATTTTGACTTGATCAATGGCTGTAACAATCTCCGTTTTGATTAATGATTTCATATTAACATAGAATGATTTTTTGAGTGATTCAAATTTTTCATCTAATTTAACATCGAGTTTCATATCTAGAAGTCTGGCTATACTCTCTAATGTAACTTCTTGTCCTAGAGAAGGGCACATAGAAGTTGATGGTTTAGGATCTAGTGAAGTTTCCGAGTGTTCAACAGAAAGAGAGTCGTCGCAGGACATTATTGAATCATTAAATGGCACTGATTTTCTAACTGGTGTATTCGAAATATCTCCCTTGCGTCGATTTGTTACATTAAAGCAAGTTGGGCATTTCCATTTAGATTTAGTTTGACCGTCTAATTTAAAGAAAGCAGTCTTATCCATATTCAAACATTTTAAATGGCATTCTTGCCTACAGTGCATACATAAACACTTTTCTCTTTCACTAGGAGGTGGTGGCAAATCTTTGCAGGCAATACAAAGATGTTTGTTTTCCATTGTGGTATACGTAAATGCAATAATAAAGTATAATTTTTAAAGTGGCTAATTGCGTAAATGTTTTTTTCTTTTTTATGTTAACATTAGCTGGCGATCGAACCTCGACTTTTGTTTGAACTAACAAAACCAAAAATAAATTAAAATAATTTGTTTGGAAAAAAGAAAAAAAAAACAAGAACAAAAAGACAAATGACAATGTGAGAACCGAACCACGGTTTCCAGATGTTATAACAGACCTCTGCGCCAAAGCACTTTGATTTAACTTCACGAAAATGTTGATCTGTATCGTAATATAGATGCGAGATTTTTATTGTAGTGGGTCATCATTATCATCATCATTACAGCCCTTCACAAGTCCACTGCTGAACATAGGCCTCCCCAAGTAATGCCACAAAGCACGGTCCTGAGCCACCTGCATTTGTAGTGGGTATTTAATCATAATATATTGTCCACCAAATCTATACACAACCCACTTATAATCAATATCACAGGGCTAGTCTTGAAATAAAATCATTTATAGCACTCACAGTTTTTAAGAACGGACACAATTTATATATTAACACAAGGCCGAGGAATTATGCTACGAATTATATACGAATCGATGACGTTTTAGAACTTTAACCACGAATATCAAAATAAAACTACGGAGCTGACAATAACACGTCCGATACCTGTCTTTTATGAAATGATATAGTAGGAGCCCCGCTTCGCAGGACTCCGTCGACCGGGCTTCCCTCGTCTGCACTACGTTGAGTGGCGTGGTGCTTCCCTCCCCCAACTCTCTTCCTAAATATTTTGACCCAATTCATAACTATAAAATATAAATCATAAAAGTTATTTATCTTTATTATCGCAATATATTCGACTTCTATTATTTAATTCATTTTGAACATTTGTAACAGGGTTTTAGTAAATTTAACGAATTATTAAAGACAATACTAAGATTACGACAATACTTAATGTTCGAAGTGAATGTATATTAACTTTATGTCTATTAATGCATTTTAATTGTTCAAAATATTATTTTTAAGATATTTTTACACGATTTGATATAGAAATTATTTATTATTAACAATAATCGTTTCAACCACACGCGTGTCGCGTTCCGCTGCGGGTGTCAGTAAATATCCCGTCAAAATATTCCTTATGTTTTCCAGCTGGCTACCTCTGCATGTCGATGGGCATCATGTTCGCCTGGCCGTCCTCCACTCTGAGGCTCTTCTCGTCTGTAAACACGACCCTCAACCGACCCATGACGGAGACTGAGGTTGCTCTTTTAGGCAGCCTGCCTACCGTGCGATAAGCATACCGTGTGTCAGCTACATTATAGAAACTATTGGAAAAAAGTATAGTTGTATGCTGTTTCCAGTATTACAAGTAGTAAGTATAACTTATAGTGATAATTTTATAGATTTTGAAAGCGATCCTGGCTCATATTACAGAAAAACAATCCCGTTTGTTCCGTCAATGAGCAGCGGAGCTTAAAAAAGAAACTCGTTGAAACCTCCAATGTGCCTACAAATAATAATTGTTTCGGATCTGAATGTTTGTCAACGCACAATTTCTATAAATGTTAATCTTCAATGCAGGAGGCAGACAGAACAAGTCCTCTGTTAAACACGGACGTCACCTAATTGTAGAGAACATTTTCTTTAACTCTACTTCACGTCATACCATTATCTATTGGAAGCCAGGAGATCTTTGGCATATTCTATAAACGGCTTACGATACCCTTTCTCGTCTTGTACCGCACTGCACATACGTCAACAACACTAGGCAATAAACACTCAAAAGTCATAAACTCTTTCGAAGTCAATAGGGTAGTGGTAACATCGTGGATTATAGTAACATAGTTTACAATACCTTGAAAACTAATACAACGCAGTATAGTGGCAGCGAATTTATAGTGTATGATCCCACGGCTATTGCAAGAGTTGACAAAGCGAAATGAAACAGCAAAATCGGCAACATCTTCCCGTTAACAACTCAAAGTAATACAAAACTGAGGTTACCAATCTATTTTCCACGCGCGGCAAATATGGCACGGATCCGTCCTTTGTTTAACAGTAAGCATTGAAATAAATGAACTAAAAATAATACAACTTGTTAACTAAGTCAACGTTTTACTAGGTGCTAGGGTTTAATTACCTTCTAGTATATGTTGTTGTATTAGTACTACTTATTGGCTTGTTAAAAGTACGAATGGTATTTCATTAACATTAAATAAATTTTCAATTAAAATATTGAAACTACATTCTATCTATTCCTAGACGTAGTTGAGCCGTGCTGCAGCGTTACGACTGTAGGATGAATGAGTCAGCTCGACCGGGAAAGAACCACATATCACAGAATACCAGCGTGAAAAGGCAGCGTAATTCTCCTGTGTTTCGTTCCGAAGTTACGAAACCGGAGACCCTATTTAATATTAACGAGCCATTCCATCTTTGTCTTCAGGGCTGACAACACACACGTATTTTAATTCTTAATCTAGAATCAGGTTGATGGTATGCTAATTTGTCATAATTCTTATTAAAATAGATTTGTTAAAAAGTTTTAAGCAACGTTTCAAAAGTCAACGAGTCATGTTTTTTTGCGATCTAAGTTTACAATAAAGTTTAATCGATTCACTCATACATCTATTTTTTATTGAATTGCTTTAGAAATTTTAAAAGTTGTTTCAAAAACTCGTTTATCTATCGATATAAATAATAAAACCTTACATTGCAATTAAAATATAAAAAAAGGTTTTGACTTTTATAATATCCTTGCTTAAATGTTTATTCAAGTCGTATTTTTATCCACAGATTGATTGGGTCGTTATAACTGTGTGCTACAAGGTGGAAGCTATCCTCGCGGCAATGCTTCTGTCTGGACTCTGCAGTGGTTTATTAATGATTATACCGATCTATGTCAGCGAGATCTGCCAAGACTCCATACGAGGGAGGATGACGTCAGGCGCAATGGTATTCTACTGTATTGGGATGCTCGTTTCTTACCTCATGGGAGGCTATTTGAAATACCACATCATGAACCCTGCGAAGCGGGCCTCCTACTTCTGACTGGTTTATAAAAAAACACGAAGGAGATGGCGGGGTCTATTCGCTCGCTTCGCTCACTTACTCGACCCCGCCATTTCCTTCTAACCTAACCTG